TGCAACTCTAAAATTTCTCACATATTGATGTCTCAATAGATATTTGATCCATCAATTTATTCCATTCTTGCTAAACATATGATAAGTTATGTCTTTAGCTATATGTAGTAAATTAAATGGAATGAATTTATATTTCATATTTGTTTTTTTTTTGTGTGGTGAAATATTTATTTATTATACTAGGTAGGCAAAATGCAGTACATTGCTCTCCCGCTAGGAATAGACATAGTCGTACTAGTACTAGCACTACTATAGTCAAAAGATGTAGCAGTAGAGTTTTCAAGTATAGCCAAATTTAAGACTGACAACATTAGTAGTACTATTCCTAATAGTAGTGATGCCTTCATTGTCTAACAAGACCGTATCTTTTAGGAATTCCAGCATACACAAATATATTTGGGAGTAGTAAACATTGGCCTGCTTAGATGCTTGCTTTGCTAGTTCATGCGCTACTTGATTTCTTTCTCGAAAGTTATGTTTGGTTGGTGAATTCCCCAACTTCTTCGGCCATGACCTGCAAATAGAAAGTAAGGTATTAAGGGGGGACCATATTTGATTTGATATTGTTTATATGTTTATCAAACTGAAATAGTTAAACTGATTTCAATTTAAATAAAACTCGAACCAAAGGAACCATGACATACTATAACTGATTCAAGAATAAGATTTGATAGAACATCTAAGCAAGCAAAATGGTTCCTCTGAGACGATCAAATAAGTATTGCCAACCTATTTTATGTTTTTTGGATTTCTCATTCTTAGTCATATATAACTTCAACAAATACCTATTTGATATATGACCTTTGTTCTACGTAATGACAGTATTTCATCTCCAACATTTATGCGATGTTTTTTTCTCTCCTTTCTGCAACAAACTGGATATGATTAATCTTGTATCTTACCTTAAATATTTTTAACCAAGAAAGCTCTTGATCTTCTAACCATTATCTCATGCAAATTTTTATCATATACTTTGAACTTTCTTCCTTCACCATTTCTAAATTGAGATTTGTAATAACCCGATCAGTCGTTTTGAGCCCTAGCGCGTCGTTAAGAGGTTTGAGGCCTTAAGTAGCTTCACTTCAGGTATTATGACTTGTACGTGTAGTTGGAATTGAATTTCGGGAAGTTCAGAATTGACTAATTTCGGAAGCTTTAAGTTGGAAGAATTGACTAAAGTTTGAATTTTGAGTAAACGACCTCGGTATCGAGATTTGAAGGTTCCAATAGGTTCGTATGATGATTTTAGACTTGGGCGTGTGTTCGGGTTGAGCATCGAGTGGCCCGGGAGTAATTCGACGCTTATTGTGGAAAGTTAAAATTTTGAAGGTTTTAGAAATTCCTAAGTTTGACCGGTCAACGCAAAAAATTGCTCTTCGCGAACGCGAAGGTGTCCCGCGAACGCGAAGAACAAAATCGCCTGGACCGTATTTTAAATGGACAGACCAGGCATTTTAGTATTTTGAGCATATCTTGAATTTTAGAGCTCCGTTTGAGGTAATTTTTGCGGCGTTGTTCTCGTCTCAACAAGGGGGTAAATATCTGACCTTTATTTTGATATTTTTCCATGATTGTTTTCGTTGTTTATTATTTTTATTCATGTTTGGATTGTAAAAATTGGGGATTTGAGCCCCAAAGTTATGAGATGGTAAATCCTTGATTTCAGGGTCAATACATAGATGAAATTAGATGATTTTCGAAATATATACTATATAAGTTATGGGTAATAATTATTTTCGATAATTTTCAAAATCCGGACACGCAGGCCGATGGTTGACTTTATTGACTTTTCGAACGGAGTTGGAATTGTTATAAATTAATTAATTATGGGTATTAGAGGCTATTTTTATTGGTTTGCATATTGTTTGACTAGTTTTGGAGCAACGGGTATCAGTTTGAGGTGTTAGAGAGGCTTTGGAGCCGGTTATGGAACTTCAAAGCGAGGTAAGTCTCCTGTCTAACTCTGTGAGGGGGAAACTAAGGTGATGTATTTGATATGTGCTACTTGTTGCAGGGGCTACGTACACACGAGATGATGAGAGTTCGTCCGTAGCTAGATTCATGCTATTGTCCGGGTATCCTTAGGTTCACACCATGTTATTATTGTACTATAGGGGTTACCTTTGCTCGTTTAATTCCTTTATTTCGCATTACGACTTGAAACTAGACTTGCGTAGAGTGGTATACTTGCCATTGTAGAGATTGACGGGCTTCATGATTAGCCACAGAATAATTATACTCTCCTTACGGATTTCTTCCGCGTTATGCGTTTTTGATAATAGATGATAATCATGCGAGTAACTAATATTTGCACTCTAATTTGGCCGCTCTCTACCTACGTTTGATTGTAATAGATAACAAAATGCTCTAATTACGAGTTTATTGCTTTGCAGGAGTCACTCCGAGCTAGGAGAAAGCTAAAAGAGTATTTTGGAGTCAATATGGAGAATGATAGGCCAACCGAAGGACAACACGATCGAAAAAGAGAAGAAAGAGCAAAGATGAAGTTCACGCCCAGGTCCGCGGTCAATCCGTGGCCACGGACAGAACATATGTTGAATCCGCGGTCCATCTGCAGCCGCGGACGAGGTGTTCGGAGCCAAAAATTGCAAGGTCAATTGTGTAATTTTTAAGACGACTCTCCTTGACCTATAATAAGCCCACCTCGCCCAAATAGAGGATATCGAGGTTTTTGAAGTGTTTTTGAAGGCAAGAACAGGCAAGAAGCAAGGCGGAAGATTCGGCATATAGTTTTTACCTTTCTTCGTATTGTTTTTATCATCGAGAATGAATTATATCAGTATGATTATGAAAATGATTATGCGTAGCTAAACCTCTAATCTAGGGTTGCTGGAACCAATTGTTAGATGAAGTCTTGATTACGTTTTGATATAATTAAGTCGTTTCTTACTCTATAATTGTTCAACTATGTGTTTTCCTGTGATTAATTGAAAGGGCCCTTGATTAATCGTGTCTAGTTACCTCGTGTTGCTTGAGAAAGAACACCGGGTTAGATTGTTGTTGAACAACACCACTTTCGGGTAAGTTAAGGGATTAATTACTTGAATTTAGAAGCAGGGTTAGAGATAACGAAGCTTTGGTGGAATAATTCTGAGTTGCATAAATTGTTAACTAGAATAGTTCGAGAGAATGCTTCTAGTAAATTATCGTAATTGATCGAGAGATAATTGCGATAACCCAGAACTCATATTTCTTATAAAGTATTACGGCGAGATTATAGCTAACGTGTCAGGAATTAATCTAACAATTGGGGAAATCAATAACCCTAGACCATTTTACCATTGAATTCAACAGCTTGATTATTGCTAGTTTTATTATTGTTTTTCCTTAGTTAACTAAATTCTACTCATTATCTATTAAAAATCTTGCATCAGGGGATTGTTTGAGCTATTCATTAGCAGTGTTAAAAGTTATAGTAAATAGGTTAGTTCCTTGTGGGATTCGACTCCGGACTGAACCGGATTATATATGCAGCGAGCGCTTAGTCCTTTTTGTATGGCATAGTTGGACGTGATCAAATTTTGGCACCGTTGCCGGGGAATTAACGGTGTTATTTATTGAAACTTTGAAGAATTTCTAGGATTATTAGTTTAGATCAATTTTCTGTGGTGTTAAAAATATTTCCATTGAAATTCTCACGCTTGAACTCTTCTGTAACTCAGGTGCATGCCTAGAATCTCTTCGAGAACTGGTGAACTCTTTGAAGGACTCTCAGATCTTGAGAAAGCATTCCGGACATTGAGCCGGGCTAACAAGAAGAGCAAACAACTGAAACAAAGCGAACAAATTGAAATTGAAATGGATGACGTAAACAACGTCAATGGGAACAACAGGAATGATCGAGATGACCCAAACGTCAGAGTGGTAGCACCTCTTGTGCCGGAAGCTGCTCTTTATGATTGGGCGCAACCAACTTCTGATAACCTGGCCACAACAATTGCGATCCCTCCCATACAAGCGGAGACATTCAAGATTACCACTAACATGATGCACTTGTTGCAGAATAAAAGTTGTTCTTCGGGTCATACATCGAAGACCCACAACAACATCTGAAAAACTTCCTAGCAATATGTGTCACTCAAAGACAGCCGAATGTGACTCCTGAGGCAATCAAATTATTATTGTTCCCATTCTCAGTAGCAGGGGAGGCTCAAACTTGGCTGAATTCGCTCCCAATAAACTCCATTGCTACTTGGGAGGAACTAGTCAAGCAGTTCTTAAACAAGTTTTATCCACCCAACAAAACTGCGAGGCAGATTAATGAGATATTGCAATTCAAGCAGAAACCGACTGAGACTTTGCAAGAGACCTGGGAGAGGTTTATGGGCATGTTGGTGAAGTGCCCTCACCATGACATTCCGGATCAGATGTTGGGATAGAGATTCTATATGGGTTTGGCTGACAGTCTGAAGGCCAATGTAGATGCTTCTGCCGGGGGTGCATTCTTTAGCAAAACTTTCACAGAGTGCAAGATTCTTCTTGACAAGATGTCTCAAAATTCAGGCTGGATGACGAGAGACACAACACTCACTCCAATAGTGCATTCTGTCGCTCTTGACCCAAACAACACACATGCAGAAAACATAGCCACTCTTATGACCCAGATGAGCTTGCTGACAAAGAAAATCGATGAGATGGGTACGAAACAAGTGCACATTGTGGATACCACAAATGGAGGCTTGTGCACTCCTTGCATAAACTAGTCATATGTGTGCTCGTGAAGTGGAGAGAATGACAACCAGGGATTCACAGAAGACATTAATTATGTCAATAATTTTGGAGGTCAGAGTCAAGGTGGGCAGCAATGGGGACCAACAGCAAACTAGCAGTACAGACCGAACCAGCCACAGCACAACCCCAATCCAGGAAGAGCACGACCACAAGGCCAAGTCATACCTTATCCAAGGCAACATGGCTATAATCAACAACACCAGCAATAGTTGACCTACCAACCACCTCATCAGCAGCAGGATAGTAACATGATCAAAATCAGGGGCATGCTGCAACAACTCATTGGGACAAATGGAAAGATGCAAGAGAAGTTAGCTGCATATGATTCAGCAATCAAAGGCATTGAAACTCAATTGGGACAGCTGTTGCTACCAAGCGCACACGCAAGTATACATGGTCGACAAGTAATATAGGATTGTAAGTCCAGATATCGTACCCACAGGGACTTGTTATTAACTATCAGCTAAATTAAACCCAAACAATTCATCTATTCAAGCGAATTCTAAAGTATGAATATTTAACTAAAATTTAATCTAGAGTAACAAATTGAGAGATTAAAGAAAATAAGTTGGCGAATTATAGAGACGAATTCAATGTGAGTGAATATTCTAGAGCTATGGGTTAGCTAACAATCCCGTTGAGTTTTCCACTTAAATCGTCTAATTAAATTTATCTCGTTTATTGGTTGACAGGGTTAATATTGCTCGTAGCCTTCTCCCGAAGTACAACTCGCCTATTCAAGCTAATCTAACGCCTATATTCCTATGGAATTAGAATTAACAAGAACACATTTATAATTCTTGTATAGTAACCAAGCAAGGCGATTAGGTATATTCCTATCCTAACCAAAAAATCCCCCCCCCCCCCCCAGAGTTAATAACTTGCTCTACTCAATCTTATATGCAATCTAGAATTCCCTCTCCCGAGTTCAATCCTAGATTCGTAGATAGTATTCAATTGGTGATCAAGCAATCAAATAATTAAGCGTAAGATTGAATAAATAAACCACTATGATAAAATAATAAGAACAATTCAAGCTTCAACTACAACGTTCATGTAGCACCCAAAACTCTAGAACTAATGAACTATAAAATTAAAGGAAGAGAAGAGAAGAAAAACTAGTTAGAAGCCTCCTCCAAGCGTGGTGTGTGTTTCCCCACGTGAATTCTCCTTCAAAGTGTGTTGGATATCTCCCAAGTTAGGTTTAGAACCCCTTTTATATGAGTTGGGATCGTGTAGGGTCGAAATAACCTTGTCCCGGGCAAAATAGGAAAACCCCCGCAACATAGCGTCCAGGCCAGCGCTAGGCACCGGACCTGGTGCTAGAGGCAAAACGTTTTTCAATTCTTGCCTTCTCTTCTTTCAACTGAATTGGCCTTCCTTCTTTTGAATTGTAAAATTCCTTGGTTGTCTCTACTTGGGGGGACAAAACCCAAAGGGTGTCCCCCCCCCCCCCCTCCTTTTTTTAATTATTTTAATGTTCTTTCTTTTTCTTCCACGTTTTATTCAATTTTGCTCCAAATCTATTCATCTTCATACCGCTTTATTCCTACATAATTAAAATATAATATTAAACACAAAATAATATAACTAATACTCAAAAGACGATTAAAAGTACTAGAATATGAGGCAACAATGGGTAAATATATGCATTTTTGGCCGAATATCAACAGCTATCTATGGCCTTGAACAATCGCCCACAAGGAACATTGCCTGCAGTACAAACGTTAATCCAAAGGAGCAGAACCCAAATCAGCTCATGGCAGTGAGTCTCAGGAATGGGAGAGATTTAGACAGGGAGCAAGAAGTTGCTCAATCCAGGAGAGAAACAACGCCAACTACTCCAGCTGCTCCAGTTACGTTGGAGACCAATGAGTCGGCAGAGCTTACTGAGGTTGTAATCGAGCAAGCACGGGTTGACACTTGCTCGGGTTGACAAGGGTAAGGAGAAGGAAGGTGAACAACTCCCAGAAAAGGTAGTAGAAAAAGCTTCTAGCAAAGAACAGACGCAAAGCAGTGTGCACAGGTTGATTCCTGCACCATTCTCGAAGGTTGGCAAAGCAAAAGAAAGATGATCAATACAGGAAATTCATGGAAATGCTTAGACAAATTCAACTGAATATTCCACTGATGGATGGTTTGAGGAAAATGCCAGGGTATGCAAAAATAATGACCTGATGTCGCGAAAATTTGACTTCCAGGACCTGTCCACTATAACTCTGACTCAGACCTACAGCGGGGTAGTGACAAGACCTACGGCTCAAAAGGTGTCTGATCCAGGTAGTTTCACTATCCCATGCACCATTGGGAGTTATGCTTTTGCTAAAGCATTGTGTGATTTAGGAGCCAGTATAGACTTGATGCCCTTGGAAATCTATACAAAACTGGGCACTGGCAGAGCTAGATCGACCTCAATGTTGCTACAACTAGCTGATCGCACAGTGAAAAGACCGACCGAAATTCTTGATTATGTGCTTATTCAAGTGGGGAAATTTGTATTCCCTGCAGACCTCGTCATACTTGACTGTCAAGTGGATGAAGAGATACCAATCATTCTGGGCAAGCCATTTTTAGCCATTGGGAGAGCATTAATTGATTGTGAGACTAGGGAATTGAAAATGAGGTTGAACAATGAAGAAATCATATTCAGTGTTCAACAATCTATGAGGAGACCCATCGAATTTGCAAATTGCTCACTAGTGGAGGTCGTGGATGTGATACTACAAGAGGAGGATGAGACTATTAATGTTAAGGATCCGTTAGAAGCTTGCTTGATGAATCTGGAAAATGTGGATGGTCAGGAGTTTCCATAGTCGGTTATGGCTCTCAAAGGTCATGGTTTCTGGGCAAGGGAACCCCAGTTCGAGCCCCTACACTTAGAAGAAAGAACACCACCACCTGCGAAACCATTGATAGAGGAGCCACCACAGTTGGACCTAAAACCGCTTCCAGCTCACCTCAGGTACGCTTTCTTAGGGCCTAATTCTACTTTACCTGTTATTATATCATCGGGTTTGCTAGCTTTGCAGGTAGAGCAACTCCTACAAGTGTTATAGGAATGTAAGACTGTCATTGGTTGGACCATGGCGGACATAAAGGGTATCAGCCCAGCTTTTTGTATTCACAAGATTCTCCTGGAAGAAGGGCACAAACCTTCCAAAGAACATCAACGAAGGCTGAACCCGAATATGAAAGAGGTGGTGAAGAAGGAAGTGATCAAATGGTTAGATGCGGGTATCATCTTCCCCATCTCTGACAGTAATTGGGGCAGTCCTGTCCAATGTGTACAAAAAAAGGGAGGAATGAAGGTAATATAAAATGAGAAGAACGAGCTTATCTCAACTCGTACAGTCACGGGGTGGCGGATTTGTAAGGACTATCGGAAACTGAACACAGCCACCCGGAAGGACCATTTCCCCTTGCCTTTCATTGACCAGATGTTGGACAGGTTAGCTGGGCGATCCCACTTCTGTTTCTTGGACGGATACTCGGGGTATAACCAGATCTCAATAGCCCCGGAAGATAGAGAGAAAACGTCCTTCACTTGTCCGTATGGCATCTTTGCCTTTCGGAGAATGCCCTTTGGACTTTGCAATGCACTGACTACATTCCAACGGTGCATGTTAGCCATTTTCACTGACATGGTTGAGGATATTATGGAGGTGTTTATGGATGATTTCTCCGTGGTAGGGGATTCATTCGATGATTGTCTTCACAGCTTAATAAGAGTGCTCAAAAGATGTGTGGAGACAAATCTAGTATTGTATTGGGAGAAGTGCCATTTTATGGTACAAGAAGGAATAGTGTTGGGGCATTGAGTGTCCAAAAAGGGAATTGAAGTTGACCAAGCCAAGGTTGATGTGATTGAGAAGCTGCCTCCACCCACTTTGGTAAAGGCAGTGAGAAGTTTCCTTGGGCACGTTGGGTTATATAGGTGGTTCATTAAGGATTTTTCCAAGATTGCTAACCCCTTATTTAAGCTGCTTGAAAAAGACCGGCCCTTCGTGTTTTCTGATGAATGCAGGTTGGCCTTTGAGGAGTTGAAAAAGAGATTGGTGACTGCACCCATCATTGTTGCACCCAACTGGGAGCAACCGTTCGAGCTCATGTGCGACGCTAGTGATTATGCTATAGGAGCAGTCTTAGGGCAACGCAAAGATAAGATGGTGCACCCGATTTACTATGCAAGCAAGACGCTCAGTGATGCACATCTTAATTACACTGTCACGAAAAAGGAAATGCTCGTTGTAGTGTTTGCCTTCGACAAATTCAGGTCGTACTTAATTGGCTCAAAAGTTATTGTTTATACTGACCATGCAGCAATTAGGTACTTGATAGCAAAGAAGGAGTCAAAGCCACGCTTCATTCGCTGGGTTCTTTTGCTACAAAATTCAATCTAGAAATCCATGACATAAAGGGGACGGACAATAAAGTGGCAGACCACCTCTCGAGGTTGGAAGGAGCATAAAAGAGAATGGAGGTTGAAGATATCACAGAGACATTCCCGGATTAACAGTTACTTGCTGTGACAATGGAGGAGGTGCCATGGTATGCTGATATTGCTAATTACTAGCAAGCGGTATTGTACTTTATGATCTCTCCTCAATTCAAAAGAAAAAGTTCTTTCATGATTGTCGATCTTATTATTGGTATGAACCTCTACTTTTTAACATATGTGTTGATAACATGATCCGGAGGTGTATCCCCGAGAAAGATCAACCTTCTATTTTGTAGGCTTGCCATGCTTCACCATATGGTGGACACTTTGGAGGAATTCGGACATCAGCTAAGGTATTGGAATCGGGGTTGTATTGGCCAACTCTGTTCAAGGATGCCCACCCTTGGGTCAAAAGTTGCAATGAATGCCAAAGGACAGGCAACATTTCTCGCCGTCACGAGATACCAATGACTACAATTCAAGAGGTAGAGGTTTTTGACATGTGGGGGATCGACTTTATAGGGCCGTTCGTCAGCTCATATGGTAACAAATATATATTGGTAGCGGTTGACTTTGTCTCCAAGTGGGTCGAAGTGGTGGCTCTCCCAACCAATGATGCAAAAGGGGTAACAGGCTTTCTAAAGAAAAACATCTTCACACGTTTTGGCACCCCGAGAGCTATAATCAGTGATGGTGGAACCCATTTTTGCAATAGAGCATTCGCACGACTGTTGGAAAAGTACAGAGTTCGTCATAAGGTGACCACCCCTTATCACCTACAGTCGAGCGGGCAAGTTGAAGTGTCAAATAGGGAAATTAAAAGTGTCCTTACAAAAACAGTGGATGCAACAAGGACCGATTGGGCGAAGAAGCTGGATGATGCATTATGGGCGTACCGCACAGCATTCAAAACTCCAATTGGTATGTCACCGTACAAGTTGGTGTTTGGAAAGGCATGCCACCTTCCGGTAGAGCTCGAACATAAAGCACTTTGGGCATTGCGGCAGTTGAATTTGGATATGGAGACAGCAGGCACCGGCAGAATCACTGGGTCATATGAGCTCGAGGAATTCAGGTTCCAAGCATTTGAGAGTGCTAGACTATAGAAAGAAAGGATGAAACTAATGCATGATAAGCACATCTTGGACCGAAACTTCAAACCCGTAGATCTAGTGTTATTATACAACTCGAGATTGAGATTGTTTCCGGGTAAGTTGAAGTCCCGATGGTCAAGACCCTTCAGATTGGTGCAAATGTTCGTAAGTGGAGCTGTGGAGATTGAATCAGAAGATGGGACAAATAAGTTCACGATGAATGCGCAAAGGTTGAAACATTACCTTGCAATGGCCGAAGAAAAAGGGATCGAGTGGTAATAACTTTGGAAGAGCCCCAGTACGCGAATGAGGGGTGATGATCAAAGCCTGCGTCGTGCCGCGACGTTAAATCAGGCGCTTCATGGGAGGCAACCCATTGATTTGTTGTATTCGTCGGGGTTATGTAAGTATCCCAGAGGTAGGTACAAACATAAAAAGAAAAAATTGGACTCCTAATTCGTGGCCGCGTATTGACTGCGAATTTGGCAAGTTTTCTGTCCGTGGCCGCAGATCTGATCGCGGATTCGGCGGTGGATTAGGTGACATCAGGTAAGTTATTTTTTTATTATTATTTCCCCCGACCCCTTCACCCCCCCCCCCCCCCACTTTTTTATTTTAATTAACCCCCCTCCTAATCCGCATTCCCCCTCTTCTATTTTACCCCCTTCTCTTAACACACAACATAACAAAACAAAAACAAAACCCTCCCCATTCCCCAATTCTAACGAGTTCCCTTCCCCCTCTCCACCAAATTCCTTTCTCTTCTCCCCACTCTCTACTCACCCAATCTTCCATCTCTGTTCATCACAAGGTTCTCAAGTAAGTACAAGATTCTACTCCCTTCTTTTAGTTTTTTTTTTGTTTTGTTGTTTTCAATTTTGTTTCTTTTCTTTTCATTCTTTGTTTCTTATTTTGTAGTTGTAAGAAAGTAGAATTCTAGGTACTCTTATTGATGTGTAATTGTTGGTATAATTGTGATACGTGAAGACATTAGGTTGGTTAGGTTGGAAAAATATTGTTGAGTTGTGAGCAATGAGGGTTTAATTGGGTCCTTCGGTACATTGGGGGGCATATGCACATGAGGTGTTTGTTGAATTGCCCCAATGAACATTATAGTGTAAATTGTAACCCAGGGGCGCGTGAAGTCTGAGTAACCGCTCTTGAGTCACCTATTCCGCTGATTTTTGATAATTGTGGTTGTGGTGTAGGTACAATGAGATCTTCAAAGAAGAGACGCACTACCGGTGGTTCGTCCCGGGGACGAACATCATCTAGTTCAAGGCAGTTTGATAGCACCCGGTTTGTCTTTAGAGCTGCCCAAGACCAATTCGTTGAAAAGGGTATTCGAAAGCCGGTACCAGAACGGAGAAATGAAAGAGGCTCTCTCCAGGTTGAGTGCCCTAATATGTTTAGGGAGCTGACTAGGCGCAGGCTCGACATCTTCTTCGAGGAGCCGGAGGATGGTAACTTGTTGCTTGTTAGGGAGTTCTACGCCAACTGTCCCGAACATGAGGATCACGTTTGCATGGTGCGACAAAAGAGGGTGAATGGCTTGATTGTAGCTATCATACGACTGTATCGCTTGCCTGCATTTACTGGGGAGAGGGATTACTATGACACTTACAAGCGAGAACCCACACAGTGAGATTTGTTTTTCCAAACTATCTGTAAACCAGACAAGGAGGTACTGTGGGTTACTCAGGGATCGAAGTAGCACTCCTCCTCACTCACCTTTGAAGGCAAGTGTTGGTTGTACATCATTAACAGTCGACTTCTGCCGTCCCACGACACCACTAAAGTCAATAGACCGCGAGCTGCTTTGATCTGGTGCTTTATGAATGGCCATGATTTTGATGTGGCCGAGGTTATTCACTCGGAGATGTTCACCCGTTCACCACTGTGGAGGTATGGGTTCTTTTTTCCATCTCTGGTCACTCGATTGTTTCGGGCTGTAGGGGTAGCAGAGAACCCCCATGTAGACGGCAAGGTGAAGAAAGATACCATGTTCCGAGCTTCCAAAGTGATCACTGGGAAAGAGGCAGTGCAGCTAGTTCCACTGATAGTGATGATTTTGAGGCATCTGAGGAGGGGGATGATAAGTAGGATGAAGTGGGAGCTGCGTCACCCCCGCATGAGCATGTTGTGGAAGCCGAAGGGCAATCCGGGGTTGGTCGAGGTACACAGCTAGAAGCCTTAGAGTAGGAAATGGCAGGCTGCGGACTACAGTCACAGACTTGGGGACTAGAGTTGATGCCTTGGCTACCCAGCATGCTAAATCCGAGAAGAAAATCATGGGTTGGTTGCGTGCGCTGGGGAGAGCGTGTCACTTAGACCCCGGCACAGTCTTTGATCAAGACTGATCTTCCAGAGAAGTTCCTTTGCCTCACACTACTTTCTATTTTGTGACATGAGGACATGACATTTTTTTTAAGTGTGGGGTGGGGGTTACTTCGTTGGTATGTTGTGTATATATAGGAATGTAGCTTGATTCTAATTTGATTGTAGTCGTTGGTTAGTTTGATTTTCATTTTTGATTAGTAGTCTAAATATGTTCGACTTGTCCCGACGACGGATATCACTCGACGGGTTTCTTGAGGTTCTAAGTCGATATATATATAAAAAAAGATTTTCTTTTGTAGGTGGTGTATCAATTACCCCTTGGTTTTTCTTTTGACCGCGGTCTTTTCCAAGGGTTTTTGTTTGAACCAGGTTAATTAGTTTTATTTTTATTTTTATTTTTTTGGTACTTTTGGGCTAAGGGCCAATATGGAAGGAAGATCCCTTATCGTCATTATGCCTTGAATACAGTAGATACTTTAGTGTGACGCTTAGGCTCAGTTGTTGATTCTTATTAGAGTGCCTTAAATTGTATGTTCTTAATTTGGCTTAAGTACTCTGACTAAAGCGTTTCGATGATCTAATCTGGAGTGAGTCACGTGCCATGTGTGTGTGAGGATTGTTGTATTCTGGCACTGCAATGCCTAGAACTTGCCCTGTGTGTTTGCAAAGCGAAATAGTAGTTTGTTCAGTCTTGGAAATGATATAGGCATTTCTTTGTTAAGCCATATATATATATATATATATATANCACCCCCTACTTCTTTAACCAGCAATACATCAAAAGCCACCACCATCAGGAACTATTTTTTTTCATACACTACATCTATATATATATATATATATATATATATATATATATATATTCTTTCTTCTTTTTACCCACTTAATTGTTATGTATCGTAGTCAACCCCTTTGAGCCTATAATCCTGTTTCTTTGGCAACCACATTACAAGCCTTACCCATTTGTTTGAATTAATCATCTATTTGAACCCTTTACCTCTCATGGGGCGGATGGTTTGGCTTTTGAGTGGAACTAATAAAATAAGGAGAAAGATGTACTATTTTGAACAAGTAAGACCAACTTGAAGTGAAAGAAGAATGATAAAGGTTTTGTATTAAAGTGCTTAAAGAAGAACTTGATGTAATTGTGCTTAAAGAAGAATGGAGTTAATATATAGTGATATGAATGTGGAATTATGGTTTGACATAAGATGTGGGGTTTCAAATGATAAAGGTTATGTATTAAAGTGCTTAGGGAGGTGTAGTCACTCTTATACCTAAATGTATCATACCCGTCCCGCAGCCTACATTACAACCAAATTAAGTCCTAATTGATCCTAGACTGAATGAACTCGAATTAGTGGAGTAGCACACTACGGACAAGCCTATGGTGCATTTTTTGTGGCATATGAATGTTCTTTTTGAGAGTGAGTGAATTCTTTCTATCTTAAGTTCCTAATTGTTCTTAAATATTATTGTGTGTGGAACCACTCTCATTTGTTATGAAAGGGCACTTGATTCATGAAGGAAAGGTGAGTCTTAACCTCTGCGCTAGAGTAAGTGAGTAAAGTTAGGAATATTGTGTGGCATGGGAGAGTCAGCTCTTGAGGCGAAGATGTTACACTACTAGGCTCAATTCTTGTGAAATGTTCTTGGTGTGACGAGTTAGGGGAGTCGCTCAGTGAAGTTAGGCCGTTGTAGAGTGTGGTTTGATTGCTCGAGGACGAGCAAGGATTTAAGTGTGGGGTGTTGATAATAGATGATAATCATGCGAGTTAGCTAATATTTGCACTCTAATTTGGTCGCACTTTACCTATGTTTGATTATAAAAGATAACAAAATGCTCTAATTACGAGTTTATTGCTTTGCAGGAGTCACTCCGAGCTAGGAGAAAGCTAAAAGAGTGTTTTGGAGTTAATATGGAGCATAGAAGGCCAACCGAAGGACAACACGATCGAAAAAGAGAAGAAAGAGCAAAAGATAAAGTCCGTGCCCAGGTCCGCGGTCAATCCGCGGCTGCGGACAGAACATATGTTGAATCCGCGGTTAATCCGCGGTCGCGGACGGGGTGTTCGGAGCCAAACACTGCAAGGTCAATTGTGTAATTTTCAGGACGACTCTCCTTAACCTATAATAAGCCCAGCTCGCCCAAATAGAGGATATCGAGGTTTTTGAAGTGTTTTCGAAGGCAAGAACAGGCAAGAAGCAAGGCGGCACAGAGTTTTTTTACCTTTCTTCGTCTTGTTTTTAATCATCGAGAATGAATTATATCAGTATGATTGTGAAAACGATTATGCGTAGCTAAACCTCTAATCTAGGGTTGATGGAACCAATTGTTGGATGAAGTCTTGATTACTTTTTGAGATAATTAAGCCGTTTCTTACTCTATAATTGTTCAACTATGTGTTTTCCTGTGATTAATTGAAAGGGCCCTTGATTAATCGTGTCTAGTTACCTTGTGTTGCTTGAGAAAGAACACTGGGTTAGATTGTTGTTGAGCAACACAACTTTCGGGTAAGTTAAGAGATTAATTACTTGAATTTAAAAGCAGGGTTAGAGATAACGAAGCTTTGGTGGAATAATCCTGAGTTGCATAAGTTGTTAACTAGAGTAGTTCGAGAGAATGCTTCTAGTAAATTATCGTAATTGATCGAGAGATAATTGCGGTAACCCAGAACTCATATTTCTTATAGAGTATTACGGCGAGATTATAGCTAACGTGTCAGGAATTAATCCGACAATTGGGAAAATCATAACCCTAGACCATTTTACCATTGAATTCAACTCTATTCTTGATTATTGATAGTTTTATTATTATTTTTCCTTAGTTAACTAAATTCTACTCATTATCCATTAAAAATCTTGCATCTGGGGATTGTTTGAGCTATTCATTAGCAGTGTTAAAAGTTGTAGTAAATAGGTTAGTTCTCTGTGGGATTCGACTCCGGACTAAACTGGATTATATATTTGCAGTGACCGCTTAGTCCTTTTTATAAGGCATAGTTGGGCGTGATCATCTGCTTAAAAGTAATCTATCATTTTAACATAGTTAAGTTTGCATATAACCTCGTCCAATAACAAAGTTCAACTTTAATGACATCATTCATTATAAGTCAAGTTTGTGGATGACTTATTCTTTTTAAGATTACAAGATATAATTGTTTAGAAAAATTAGAATAATAACATAGCTAAGTGTAATAAAAAATAAAGAAAAATAATTAAGAAAGAAACGAAATATGAGAAATTATGTAGAAACAAGTGAAGTAAAGGTTGGGAAATGAGAAATAAGAAAATAAAAGATAAATAATTTTAAAAGAATAATATTTGGAAAAAAAGAATTTAGAAAGTAAAAATAAAAAATAATTAAAAAGAAAAAAAAAGAGATTCAAAAAATAACTTTGTAATTAAATCATGTAATTACCAACAATTCTTAGTCCCCTTGAGAATTTGAGAGCGTAATTAAACCCAATTACATGTTGACCAAGTAATTACTCAAACATACCAAAATTGTGTAATTACATCCAATTACACTCAAATTCAATTACAGGGTGGCTTTTCAAACTGGCCCTTATAATTGTGGCTAAACGGAGCTGTGTGAGTCTTGTAAGTTGAAAACCCGACTAAATTCACTACCTTAATAAAATTAGGCTTTTACTTAAATTCATTTAATTGTGTTTAAACAATTAAGCTAATTATATTAGCGATAACATTAATTTGAACTAATAATCTATTATATCTTCAATTTAAAATTTCGTCCAAATTTAATGAGTTTTTATTCAATGATATTAATGTTAACGGAGTTAGAACGTTATTTTCACTGCTATTAGCTGGCATTGTCGTTAGTATCTTTTAAACAGAGAAGAATTCTCACAAGGAACGTAACTAAATAAACAGATAATAAGAACATTAAAAATGACATTCTTGATAGAATTTGTGATTTATACCCCCCTTTTTTTTTTGTGTGTGTTTCTTTTCTAGAAAATTTTCCTACTCCTCTGACAAATCATACGAATGTCATGTTACATACACTAACTTTTCTTCAAACGTATTGCCAAGAAAGCTAATTGTTAATTGGTGAGAAAGAAATTCAATTTTAATTAATTAATTATACTGCAATAAAATTTTTTAATTAATTATTATAAAATTGGAAAAAATCAAGATTCAATAGAATCCACACCGATACCCGACCCGGAAATTTGTCTAACAGCAGTTCCCGGTACAAAAGGAAGAAAAACAGCACGGCAAGCAAACTGTTCATTTCCTCTTACTTGCAAAATGAACTGCGTCGCTGCTCTTAAGGCGAGTTCGCCGATTTCCCTCTACTCTGATTCCAGAATATTCCAGAATCGCAGCAGCATCCGCTTCTTCCGTCACAATCATAATCGGAATTCCAACAGAATCAGATGCAACCTGAAAGATAACAATCAACCGGAAACAACTACTGGTATCCAGCTTTATAGAGATATCGAGAGGTCTGTCTTCCATTAATTCCTCAATATTTGTACTGCAAATTGTTATTTCCTCCTGCTTTTCTTTTTCTTGGATTCCGCGTATTTTTGCCTTTGTATGGTTGAGTACAACAGTTAGCAAAATATATTCTTCCTACTCCAGTCCTTATTTCATCTCTCTGTCCCTAATAAACCGCACAAATATAAATACACACTTTATACTTGAGCTGCACACAAAAATAATTGAGCTGTACAAAGCGAGCTGAATCACTTAAAGGTTAGCCATAATTTTCACTGTTAGGCTGAGGTGATCAGGGGCGGATTTAGGGGGGCGCAAGGGTGTTCACCCGAACACCCTTCGCCGAAAAATTACACTGTATATATAAGGCAAAATCTGTTTTTTTACCTCTATATATTAAGTTTTGAACACCCTTAACACAACCCAAAAGTGTAGTTTAGTGGTCAAGGGGGTTCAAAATTTATATAAGGTCATGGGTTCAATTCTCACTAGCTACAAAAACATTTTTTGAACCCCCTTCGTGAAAATCTTGGCTCCGCCACTGGAGGTGATTGCCCCTTAATATTAAAGCTTGGCAGAGAGCCCAGGACAAAAACACCAAAAGCTGCCTTCTTGAAACAAGAATAACTGCAAGTGAAAAGAATTGCAGAACAAGAAAGAACAGATAAAAGGAAAACGGATCGTCCATGCCAAAATAGGCTTTATTTCAAGGAAAGGCGACATTTTGAATATAGCTAGTTTCCTAATAGAAGCCTATGTCTTACACATGCTGAGTTACTGGTAAGGCTCATAACCCACTTCCTGGGTATCTTTTGTGCAGAGACGGAGCTATCGTTCTGCTTACGGTTTCGACAGAACCTAGTAGTTTGGCCCAAACCATGTACTTTTGTTAAGTTTCCACTTAATATGTATAAATAATTTATCTAGAACCTAGTAAGCTGCCTTTTCTAGTATCCAGAACCCATAAACTCAAAATCCTTGCTCCACCTTTGCTTACGAATATTATCAGTTTGATCCATAAAACGAAAAACGTGATGCTTGTAACACTTCCATTGATGGCATTAATTACAGCAAGAAAAAAATTGAAAGCACTGCTACAATTATTGCAGCTATTGCTATTTGCTAGCAATGATTGCATATGCATATGTATGCACAAACTGATGAATGCATGCACTTGGATATTTATATAATTGAAATCTTGGTGATGGAATGTGGGAGACTCTTGAACTTACTTTTTTAGCTAACTAGAAAATTCAAATTCATACGTATAATTTGTCATGTTGTGTAATCTGATATACCCATAATATTGTCAATTATACACAACCATATGCAGTTGTGAAATTGAAGTTCTATTCGGATGATTAGTAATTCTTGATTTAGTGTTATCAGTTAAACAATGTCTTTTTTCGCTCATTAAACCCAAAAAAGTAACTACTACTTGTGCTTATTCACAGATTACTTACAGAGACAGTGAAGCAATCTCAAGGTTGGGGAAGTACACAGGACTGGGATGAAATCGAGGTTAATTAATGAATTCCCTTAAAAATGTGCTTTAGTTTCTCCAGTGGAATTGAATCAAACAAATGTCTTTCCTTTATGTGTAAAGTTACAAGTCAATATTGATATCCAACTTGTTCTGTTATCACTTCCCCTAATTTGTCAATCTTCATTATCTTACGGCATTTTTGGATTGTAATCTTTAAAACAACTTTTCCTGCTCCTTCCATATGAGCTTAAAGACAAAAAAGAAGGACGTTCTAGTTTGAGAGGGCATGGAATGACTGTTAGGTTTGAAGGAATTAGTCATGATGTGCAATGCATCGTAAGCATAATGTTGAATCAACATTTGTTATGTCATTATAATCTGTGTTGGGAATTGACGTGGATTGGATACAATCTCGATTGTGACTTAACAGTTAATAATACAGTGGGCTGCATAAGGAGAACAAAAAGTGTACCCACATATCCTTGTTCTACATACTTGTAGCAATGCTTTGATAAATTATTAATGAAATCAACTCACTGTGCTATTCCAGGGAGAGGAGAACAAAAAGTGTACCCACATATCCACATTCTATATACTTGTGGTGATGCTTTGATAAATTACTAATGAAATCAACTCACTGTGCTATTCCAGGGGGCATGGGTATTGAGACCAAAAACCTCAAAGCCAAAGTTAGTCGTACATTTTGTTGGAGGTGTTTTTGTTGGGGCTGCTCCTCAGCTTTCTTACCGCCTGTTCCTGGAGCGGCTCAGTCAAATGTGAGTGATTTGATCTTTATGCTAGAGTCCATCTTATTCTATCTATATGTTAATTATATGCCTATGATTTGAAAGTAGCCACTTCTTTGTTGTATTTGTGACCTATATGCGCCTCGGAATTATTCTGATTTATAGTTAGCTTTTCTCTCTCTTTTGTGTTACTCATAAGCAGGATAGGAGAAGTAAAAAAATTTAACTAATCACAGCACCAATGGGGTGGCGGTACTGTATAATTCTTCCCATTCTCTCTCTGTATTTAAGATTTGAAGGTTGACTTCTCAGATTTTAGGTGAGCAAGAACAGCGGTCCACTATTTAAGTAGTATCTTATTAAAGATCTTTAGTAATGACTATTCACTTTCTCGTAGAAGTGTACTACTCTAAAGTAGTTAAGGTGCTTACCAGCTGAAGCTCACGTTTTACTTAGCTAGTTTGGCGAAGGGATTTCCATCTGTTTAATCAGACTTAAGAATAATAGCTTTTTTTGCTAGTAGTTGTAATAGACTGTTTCCACCTGTTAAATCAGACTTAAGATGCAAAACTTTTTGTGCTGCTAGTTGTATTAGACTACCTGATGTCCGTTCCAGCAGTATTATTTTATAAAACTAACATGCTATTATCATGATGCTGCAAGCACTATAATTCTTATCCTTTTTATATCTCACCTCTGTTTCCTTTATCCATTGTGTCAGGTAAGTGGGGTTGGTATAACGCCTAGCCTTATTTACATTGTGAGGGGATATGTTGGTTGCTACAACTTACTTCTGTTACATTGTGAGACAGGGATGTCTTGGTGATTGCTACACCTTATGCTAGTGGGTTTGACCATTTCTACATTGCAGATGAAGTGCAGTTTAAGTTCGATAGGTGCCTTAGGTTTCTCCAAGAAAGAGTGAGTTTCAGCTTTTGCCTGGGATGAGACTGTTTTATCATGCTTTATTTCTTACGCATGTCCATTAGTGACATAGGTACAAGACCTTCCTATATTTGGCATTGGGCACTCTTTAGGATCTGTTATTCACCTTTTGATTGGTAAGTTAAAGTATTCTCAGTAATCTTTTTAAATAGAGATAAATTTGGTCAACTTGGTCCACAGTATTTGACACATTGATGCTTGATGATCAGGATCAAGGTATGCTGTTAAAAAAAATGGGAATGTATTGATGGCTTTCAACAACAAGGTACTTGATTAATTTATTTTCAGCTTTATCAAAAACTCATACTTGCAATTATACTTGCAAATCTTGTAGCTACGAACACTTGCCAAGTTTGACATGGTTTCTGAAATCTTGGCCCTCGACGGCTTCTTGCCAGGGTCTTTATCTAAGAACCGAGGTCTGGTATCCAAGTTTTATGTCTTACTGTAGCTGTTTGTGAAAGTGAAAACAGCAATACATGTATTACGTCTACTCCTGTTAGACCACTAGGAGTTTAAGTTACTGAACATCTTAATGTGCACAAAAATCTATTTGTGTCCCGAAGCCAGGTGACCCAGGTAATCCATCACCATCTGAGCATATAATAAAGTTTTCCTATTACTTTTTTATCCAGGATGCGAGCCTTGCAGTTCCATTGTTCTCATCTGTTCTTGCTCCAATGATGCAAAATATCGGACCGGTTTTATCGGACATTGCGTCATCACCAACCATTCGTCTTGGGGTAAGTAGCTGAATTTCACCAACTTCCCCAACTTCTTTTGAATGTTCTTATTAGATGACTCTCACATGTGACATCATAGATGTTTTTCTCCTTATGTCTGGATAACTAAGCTAACGAATTTTTATTAACAACAAAAACTGGCACTATGATTAATGGTGGCAACTGGGTGAGTTGAGTTGGATTTGAGGGGGTTGAAAATGGGCCGAACAACTGCTGTTTATAGCCCAAACTGCCCATATCTTAAACAGGTCAATATAATTGGCTCAAGGTTCTTGGTAGATACAAGAAGCTGAAAGAGAGGATCAAAAGAAGAAAGAGAAGGAGCTGATCTGAAGCTTGAGATGTCAAGATTTCTCCTGGAAAATCTATCAGAAAAAGAAAGAGAAGGAGAGTGCGCGTTCCCAAGAGAGAAAAGTGACGTCTTCAGAGGATGGTTTCCGTGCCTCAATGATTAATATCTCTTTGCCAGTTAAAACTATTACTTAGTGTTGTTCTCTTAAAAATAGAACGCATCGACAAATAAGGTGCAAGCCTAAACGCCTTGGTACCTGCATTAAAGTGTCGCTTAAGTGAGGTATAGTGCCCACCCTAAGCTTCATTCAGCTTCAGGGCTTAAGTGCGCTTCAAATGAGCATTTACCATACACGTTGGTATGGTACATGGTAGGCATTGAGAGAAAGGATATGCGTTGACTGACATAGGTATCTTGTATCTGAACCTGATTGCTGACTGATGATATTTCTATGAAAACTGTGGTGTCTTTACAGTTAGGAAATCACCTGCCTTTTATTTGATCATCGGGTCAAAGAATTCTGTGTCGAGAAGATCGCATGTCTCTTTGCTAGGACAATTGTTTATGCTTTAGATTTTCTCTTGAAGTCCGTGCTTTGCATTTTTCATGCTCTAAGATTTGGTTTCAAAAGTGAGGTCTTCTCCTAAACTGTGTCAGCTTATCTATATTTCCTTTTTCTTGCTTAATTTTTATGTTAAAAGATTTTCAATGGAAAGAGTGAGCACCTTTTTAAGTAACGCCTAAACGGGAGCTATGGTTCTGATGCATTTTGTTTGGGCTCCATATAGATAAGACTGTAAATAAAAGGATTCTTTTCATAACCCCAATACATTTTGTATGCATAAACTAAAATAGCATGATAAAAAACAAAGCTTCCGTCCAATTTGAAGCGATCTCAATTGATCCCTCGTTACTGCTCTTAGGAGCAGTAATAGATAGGGAGGACAGGATTTGAACCTGTGACATTTTGTACCCAAAACAAACGCGCTACTAGGATTTTGAAGGTCTTAGAGTTAGTTTGCAAACTAGGAAACAGAAAACAAAGGTGGACGAATGAACGGCAATTTACCTTATCAAAAGAAAAATGAAATATCAGAAGCTTAAATTCTTCTCCCTGTTTGATTGGGATGAACAAAAGGAGAAAAGTAGGAGGAATTTTACTTTTCTTGGGCGCACTTACTAGTTGTTTCTACAAGAAAAGCTCCCCCCCCCCCCCCCCCCCGGGTTGTTCTATAATTTCTTTTTTTTTTACTGTATAGTTCTCTCAACTCCTTTCGGCTTCTAAAATTAGTAGAGCTTGATCTTATCAATTGAAAATGCTGAGAGAGGAGAAAGAGATTGCTTAACCTTCGCATCTTTCTCGTTGAACTCTTAATGCTGGCCTATTGTTTTTTTATCATAAGTATTTTGTTTTACTGAACTGAGTCAACTTGAAAGTGCTGCTCACCCTTTTCGTGCCTATTTTGACAGTCACTTTTTCATGAGATGCTTTATGGTAGGCACAGGTATTAAATGTTAGTTACATAGGTGCAAACATTGTGTCACTCTCGATAGTCGTTAGTCACTTTTTCATAAACTTCAACATGGAACTGAAATCTTCTTACTGCACTCCTGTGTTTGATTATCTGCAGGCAGAGATGACTATGAAGCAAATAGAGAACCTTAGCCCCTCAATTTTGAAGCAAGTTTTTCCACTGGTTGAGCAACTGCCTCCTCTGTACATGGACTTGGTTAAGGGAAAAGAAAATTTTACTCCAAGACCAGAAGAAACTCAAAGACTGGTATGGAAAATTTTGAGATCTTAGTACTCATTAACTAGATACATGTCGTGAATATCTTTAGTTTACTTTGTTGCTATTTTCTGGTAGAACTTGTGTAGAGTTTATATTCTATTACCAGTTCAACGACTATGCAAATGAGAAGCAGATACATACATGCTTTGTGCCATGGTATGAGTTGAATTTCTAATAGTGCTATGTAGACTGTAGCAACAGTAAAGTTGGAGCCTTGGAGCAACGGTAAAGTTGTCTCCATGTAACCTATAGGTCACGGGTTCGAGCCGTAGAAGCAGCTACTAATGCTTGCATTAGGGTAGGCTATCTACATTACACCTTGGGGTGCGGTCCTTCCCCGGGTCCGGCAGGAACGCGATCTGCCTTGTGCACAGGGCTGCCATTCTTTATGTAGCCTGTAGAGCCTGAATCCTAAATATAGATTTCTTCGTCGCATTGTGTCAATGGTATTGCAAAAGTTACACTGGATAATAATTTAATCACTATGCATGAGACTAATAATTTCAAGAGCTTGATTTGGATACTCAGATTCAATAGTATTTGATGTGATGTCAGATTTTGGATGCTTTCTTAAACTTGTTATGATGATGGGCAATGAATTTGTAGATTATGATGGTGAATACACAAATCTGATGAATGTGTGTGTGTGTGTGTGTGTGTGTGTGTGTGTTACATTTTTAGTTAAACTTTATTAGTGCTTGTTGAAACTTTTTTTGGGTTAATTTAGGGTATATAAAATATTATATAGATAAAATATATAAAATCTCAAAACCATATGATCCTCACAATATTTGAAAATTTCATGCACTGGTACTCTATCCCCGTCAGATATGTGCTATACAGATGTTAGTAGTTCGCTGCTCACTTTAACATGTTGAAGACGCTGAATGTTGCAACATTGTCTATATTACAGTGAAACTGTCCCTTCCAAAGAGTATCGCGGGTCTGTTTACGGCATGATTCGGATTTGATTACGTAATTTTTTTAAGACAAAGTTTACATATTCAAAACCTATACAAAAGGCACTATACATCACACCATTTTATAGTTGAGATTAAGAATATGAAAAACGTTCAAAATCATAGTCACAGCAAAATTTATTTAATTTACCAGGTAGCAATAATGCTATAGAGAATGGGGCAGAGTACCTAACACAAAATGTATATTTTCATTGTCCAAGATTATGTAAGTTTTTTTTTTATCTAATATATATTACAGATAAGGTCCTACTATGGGATATCGAGGAATCTCTTAATAAAGTTCAAAGATGATACAATCGATGAAACTTCAACACTAGCTCAAGTGCTCAGCTCAGGTTCTGCTATCAGCTCAATGCTGGATATGTCCATCCGCTCGCTTCCTGGAGACCATGCGCTTCCTCTACAGCAGGTTCACCCTAAACCACCGAAATCTGTTAAACGAGAGTTCATTGCAATTAGTGTCTGATTAATAAATCTGCTGGCAGATTCATGCCTGGCCAATTTGCTTTTTCATAGTTCCTTTTTCTCAGAGGTTAAAACAATGTATTTCTTTCCTTTTTCCGACTTTCAGGCTCTGCCAGATGTTCCCCCAGGAATGACAGATGCTGTTAACAGGAGCGGGGAGCTATTGGCAAATTTGACCGCAGGAACACCATGGGAAAGTGTTGCAAAGGAAGTCGGCAACACACTTGGTAATGTAGACTCTATACTTCTTAGCTCTCGGAATTCCAAGGACTTGGATCAGCTTGTGGAGACAATAACATCATGGATGTTGTCTAACTCCAGTCCAAGACTTTTACAATGATTTGCTATAATGTATGTAGATGAGCCTCCTCAATTAAGTTGTAATGATAGTTATACTTGACATTTGTCAAGGTTATAGATACATTGGCCTCTCTTTGGTCATATATCTTGTGAATGTATACTTCCTGGATTTTTGGTATAAAAGAAAGGTCAATTATTTGTACCTGGTGGTGGAGTTGGATAGTGGATTGACCGTGAATTCTGTGCACGATCGGCTAAGTTGGAATAACTGTCATCCTGAGTTTTAACTCTCAACTACCCTATGACGAAGGGAGGGTAAATGTTAACGTACACTAGTATGAAAGTAAGTTTGCCTGCTTTCTCGAAATGGTAGCTTCCACTATCTTCTTGCCTACTGAAATATTAGCAAATGATCTGTGACAACTCTTCAAATCCTCCAGTCACATTGCAGTTTAGTTTCATTTTCTTATTTTTGATGCAGGAACCTCTGCTGAACTCTCTCGAATGGTAACTTTATTATTTGCAGATCACATTAGAGTAAACTAAGATACAGAAATCTATTCACTCAGGAAATATGGGCGAGGGAAGGGGTAAAGCTCGGGACCTAAGCCTCAAGTCTCATCGATATATCTGTCTGTTTCGCTATAGTTATGCGTAAAAGATAATTGTGAAATTAACATGGGGAACCTTATTCTAGAACAGTCTAAGAACATTAAACCAGCAAATCACAGCTTAAGTAATTCAAGTTACTGTAAGATTAACATGACAATAGAAAAGAAATATAAGTGCAAACGCAAACATTGATCCGTGCTCAAATTTCGATATTTTCCAAAGTCAGTAATAACGTATCTGTAACAGAATGGCAATTTCCAGTGAGTCGAATTTTCAAAACTTCGTTGCCAAATAAATTACTAGACTTGTATTGCACGGAACTAAGCTGTGGACAAATAGCATGGATGGGATGAGTGAATGGTGTGTCCATGTTGGCTCATCTTCTACCTAAAGTTTAATAATAATACAAGGCTTGGGCTCAGCTTCAATAATGTTACAATCTAGCTTAAACGAACAGAACAAAACTTTAGTTCATTCTGATTTCTGAAATCAGGATAGAAAGAGGCCAAGATTCATAGGAAAGATGTTACTCCTCTAAAGTGGCTGGCCTTATTACTAGGACAAAGAAGGAAAGCACAACGCTATATTCCCTTAAAATGCGATCAAGATATGGGATGGAATCAATCGCAGTAGTATATGAAAACATCGAATATTTAAAGCATTCGAATGCACAATTTTATATCAATAAGATCCAGTACCTCTAAATGCTCTGTCTAAAACATGCCACGAGGACAATTTAACATTTATTTCCATTACAAACAAAAGTGTAAAACTATAGAAGAGTTCAACAATGCTTGTTCAATTTGAATGGGGGCAGCCCTTCAAAATACAGAAAATGATGCCAAAAAGATTGGCAACTCAGGCTGGGCTTTCTGATGAAATGATCCAAGAAGCTAAGATCAAACCAAATTTCAATTTTTAAGCATAAATAACGTTCTTCCCTAACAGCGGGCAAATAAATTGACGGGGAGAATTCCAGGGTAGAAGCACAAAATAGAGCTAATATAAGCAAAAATTCGATGGATATCTTTACGGAAAATCCAACTTACTAAAAAACAAACATCAAGTCATTGCAGATTCAAAACCCATGTTCTTTCTTGATCAAGACTACAGATTAAAAAATTAAAAAAAGACCATTAAACAAACAGGATTGCATCAAAACTGACTTTTTGTTTCCCATACAAAACCTTTTCATTTCCACTCTAAAAGCAAAGCAAGTAGTCTCTCTCTCTCTCATCTTTAGTCTCCCTTTCTCCTGAAAGAACAACCCTCGGTGAGTCTAGCACGGCCACCAGTCGGCTGGCACAACACAGTCTGGCAGTTCCCGCACACCACCACAGTTTGCGAGTGACTGAACACAGTTGTTCTGCACATACATATTCATTCCAATCATCAATTATCTAATACAACAAACACTAATCCAAAATACAAAACAAAACAATAAATAAGATAACTTACATGTTAAAGCAACCCTGGCACTTAACATCCTAGAGAAATAACAAACAAATTGCACATTAATTTCAAAAATCCGAAAAGCATACACAATTTCAAAGTACATATAAATTGAAGAATCATTTACACGTACCATAAAGAAAGAGTTAGGAGACTGAACAAGACGCTTGAGTTTGTGCTTCCTCTTCTCCAGCTCGGCAGGAGGGTTCAACAAGTCGACATCATTTGGAAGAGTCTTAATAATCCAAATTAACACATACGTTATAACAAATCTGAAATAATAAAGAACAGAAGATGAAATCCGAATAGCGATATATAACTCACCATTTTCGCGAAGTTAACAGAGAAGCCTGGAAAAGCGGTAGAGCTATTTAGCCTCCGAGACTGCTGAGATGAAGACGATGCGACTAGAATGTTTTTTAGGGTTTTCTGCGAAGCTTATAAAAGGATTTGTGAAAGTTGTAGGCCCTTGGATTGCTAGAGGGGTTTTAATCTTGGCCTTCCGTTTACCGAGGATACGATTGTCAATTCGCCTCCTTCCCTAGTTCCCTAAAAAACATTTCCTTTTCTTTTTTTCATGATGAACTTAAGAGATTGTATAGTCTAAGAGCTAGGGGTGTTCATAAAAATTCGAAAAATCGAACCAAATCAAAAATCAAATTAAACCAATCAAAAAAATTGATACTTTTTAGGTCTGGTTTGATTCTGTTTTTGAATTTTAAAAATCGATCAAATTTGGTTTGGTTTTGGTTTTTAAAAAAAAACGAAAAAAAACCGAATATAGAGGCAGCTATCTAAATTTATTATTACAACAATATATATGTTTGTTTTTATATAAATTTTTTAAGATTTTATGGTACATATTAATCGTTTGTATTTTTAGTGTCTAGTTCTTTGCTATTATAATAATCTAACTCTTTGCATTTACATTCTAGTTTGATTGGTTTTTTTTTTTTGGCTAAGTACAAGAATTTATTTTGTTAAAAAATAATTAATTTTTAATTGAGTAGTTAATTATTCATCACTATTTGATTCAATTATCATTAATATATCTTGGTAAATGATAGCAAGGAGCAATTAGTTTGATAGTGTTACGTTGAAAATATAGTCGCCGAAATATGTGTTTGGTAGTGTATGTCTCATATTTAAGAAAAAAAAATGATAAATAACTGAAAAATCGAAAAAACAATAAAAAACTAAATCTATAAAAAATCGACTTAATTGGTTTGGTTTGGTTCCAATATTTGAAGAATCGACTTACTTGGTTTGGTTTCTTTTTAGGAAAAAAACATATCCAAACCGAACCATGAACACCCTGACGAGTAAGAGCCCGTTTGGATAAGAATTTTTTCACTTTTCTCGAGGAAGTTAAGAATATTTTCTTTGAGGTTAAAAGTAATTTTTTTTTTTTTTTTGAATTTGAGGTGTTTGGTCAAATTCAAATTATGCTTTGAAAATAAGCTACAACATTCAGAAAGTTTATGTTTTTCAAGACAAAATAATGAACCACATATACCCAATGTATTCTCACAAGTAGGGTCTAGGGAGGGTAGTATATACAGTCAGACCTCTCTATAACAGCATCCCTATATAACAACACTTCACTATAAAGGCCACGCTTTTCCGGAACCAGTTTTCATGTTATGTTATAATATATGTTCTCTATAGCAGTGCTTCGCTATAACATCCAAAAATATTCGGAACAAACGAGGTTGTTATAGAGAGGTTTGACTGTATGCAGACCTTACCGGCTTACCCCTATCTAGTGAAGATAGAGAAGCTTTTTTCGAAAGACCCTCGACTCAATATAGCAAAATCATAGTAGTTATAACAAAGAATATGAAAAGCGAGATAGTAGTAACAACTAGAAAAAAAGACATAAGAAAACAAAGAAAATATCTGGTAACAATATCAATATCATCTGTCTTTTTCGTTATTTGATAGTCAAAATCACTTTATGAAAAGATTGACCAAACACAATCTCTTTATCGAAAGGTATAAAAATACTTTTCAAATCAATTCGCCAACACAAATTATTTCTCACTTAAAAAATTTCTCTAAAAAACTATTTTGACAAAAGTCTTCATTAAAATTAGTAATTTTTAAAAAGCTTGTCCAAGTAGGCTCTAATCTTCACTCTATATCTTAATCAATTAGAACCAAGTCATTAAACATGCTTACAATTAGGTCTGAATCTTAATTATTCGTGCTAAGTGTGTTTATTTTTTCTTTTATAACCTTTTGAATAGACTCGAATGATTAAGGCTATAACAAAATTTTAGTATTACTAAGATAATATTCATTCTGTTATAAAATAATAAAAGAAGAAGAAGAAGAGTAGTGTAGAGAAAAGTAGAGGGAGAGAATTCTTATTGATTTCGTGATGAATTACAATGGAATAGAACCCTCTATTTATAGGGAGATGCTGACTTAGCCACCAAGTAATAAATCCTAGAATCTCTCTAAATATGGACATTCACCATAAATATGATTCTATTTATAACACTCCCCCTGAATGTCTATTCAACAGATAATGTGCCTCATTAAAACCTTAACTAAAAGAAAACCCAATGGGAAAAAAAATCTAGAAAAGGAAAAAGAGTACACATATCTAACAATACGCCTTTTGGTTGCCTCGTTAAAAACCTTGCAAGGAAAACCCAGTGGGACAAAATCTTGTAAGGGAAAAAGAGTACAACGCGTATTAACTCCCCCTGATGAGAGCATCAATTCACATCCTTGAGCATTTGCATTCCAATCTTGTGCACATCTTCAAAAGATCTTTGGTAGAGATTTGATGAACAAATCAGGCATATTAACTTGAATGAATATATTGCACCTTGAAATCATCATTCTTGATAGAGATGAATTGTCTTCATATGATCTTGTTGGAATCGTCAGTTCAATATTTTCACATAGAGGTGAAAACAATTGCTATCATATTATCATGCATATAGTTATAGCAAAATACATTTGTGCACAAATTGCACTGAGGAAGTGGTACTTCAAGATCAAGAATTGTATATGCTTCAAGCAACTTAAATCCTTCATGGATTGTCACATAAGTTAAGTCATATAAGCCATATAATAGACTTTAGATGCATATCAAATTTTCATGTCATGCTAGACATATAAGATATCGAAAAACTGATTGCACATACCATTGACTTTATTCAAGTGTTTGAACTGCAGGTCCAAAACTACATGTCTTTCATCTGAAACCAAATTCTACTTGAATTGTTTCTCCAGACTTAAGATCCTCATATATATTTAGCGCTATTATAGATGTCGTCGACAGACATTTTATATCGGTTCCAACCTCCTTATTTTTCATAAAGACATAACATAGAGATCTCTTCATTCATATATTCAGGTACCTGAATCTCTCATGAGATTTTATGAACTGTTATGTCATGTGATCTTCTAGATCACTTGCCTCCTTTATTATGATCATGTAGATCATTTTGCTCATCTTCTTTATCAAGAAGTTTATTTGAAACCGACTTGTCTATACGCTTCAAGCGTACCATAGACTTTGTCCTTCTAGGACTTAATAGGAGCATTTGTAATGAGAATATAGTTACTTTCTTTGGGTCAGCAAATGCGTCTGGCATGCTTTGCAATAAATTGCAACTGAATTATCCTTTTATGAACTTCAAGTTCATATTATCTTATTCGAGGATCTAGATGTACAAGTGATAATTCATTCCACGTAACTTTTTCTCAACTATTTATCATGTCTCCCCCTCGCGTTAGAAAAACTAACTTGTTTTCTCAACTTTGAGAACCCATCTTTGTGTGTTATGGTGTTAATCAAAATATACACCGCACATCAATAATAATAAGATGGAATTATTTGGTTCCTGACCATGAACCACTTGTGAGGGGAGAAATTAATATACTTTCGTATATAATGTATATCAAACTGATATACAAAACTTTATTCTCATAAGCAATTGTTTAGCTATTAAGTGGAGGCACTCAATAAATCATTTTGCTAAACCAGCTGTGATGTAGACCAACTTATCAAGATGAACTTCTTGAATAGAAAATCTGGAATATGCTCTAAATTAAATTATTGAGCAAGTTACCTCGCAAACACCATGTTGCGGGTTAATAATAATCGCACATGTAACCATCTCATAGATGCATCTTATGTGGTATACATGGCAGGTGAATGAGCCCATATTCACATTTGATATTTCCAGCATTCATGGGATTCAATCCCAATTTTAGTTGATCTATTAATTAATGAGAACAAGCAATATAAGAGAATTCGTAAAGAACTTTCTAGTTCTTTAATATTTACCCATGTGAATTCTCTTTTATTTTTGCACATCATACTTGAATTAACATGGCTAAACCAAGTATGCCAACTGGATAAATTATCAATATTGATAAACTTCAGGTTTACACCATGATGTGTGCAATTATGAATAAACTCCAAGTTTATTATAATATGGGTTTTTATATCAATAAATATCCACTTCATTGTGGTATTCTTTTGTTTATGTAGTACAAATTGAAGAATAAAGCAGGTAGCTTTTCACATACATATTACCCCGCTACAAGTTGTAGTAATAGAAGATATTAAATCTTTCCTTTATTTATAGTCTCAATATAATCAACCGCTTTCGCGTATACTTTGGAAACTGAATAAGTTTCTTTGAGACTTACTACAACACAATACCTTATTGGTAATTAATTGTGTTTCTCCAAAATAGTATAATTGGCTCTTGCAGAGTTCTCAATTAATTTTGTAGTACCACATATTCATCAACACCCATATGGTGAATATCTCTTTTAAAGAGAAAGTTATACCCTTATGGTTATGGTCAAAATCAGCAGTTGATACAGACAACAAAAGATGCCTTACACAAGGCATTCAAGATTAAAGACCTAGGAGAACTAAAGTTTTTCTTGGGAATGGAATTCAGCAGGTCAAGTAAAGGTATCCTGGTTAATCAAAGAAAATATGCTTTGGAGGTCATATCAGAATTGGGGCTTGGAGATGCTAAACCAGCTTGGACACCTCTTGAAGTCAATGTGAAACTCACTGTGTCAGAGTATGACAAGTTGACAGGCAAGAAAGATGATGATCTACTTGAAGACAAGGGGCAGTATCAACGACTGATAGGAAAATTACTATATTTGATACTAAGACCAGATATAACATATACAGTCCAAACACTTAGCCAATTCCTTCAACAACCAAAAAGATCTCATTGGAATGCAGCCATGAGGGTTGCTAGATACATAAAGAGGGAACCAGGTCTAGGAGTATTATTCAATAGTGAGAAGTCACATAAGATCTCTGTGTTTTGTGATGCAGATTGGGCATCATGTCCTAACACAAGGAGATCAGTTTCAGGTTTCTTGATCAAGTATGGTGAATCACTGGTTTCTTGGAAGTCAAAGAAACAAAACACAGTGT